GAGCCATCCGCGCGTTTAGTCATCAAAGATTCCCACTCATCAGGCATAATAAACTGTTGCGCCAAAGTAAATATTCAATTTTTCAAGGCAAGTAAAACAATAGAACCCAGACAAATACATCCGTCTTTGAATATAAAGGGTACTCAGGTGGACGGTCTGGTTACCTTCAAGGAGCAGCGGAAATTCAGGGGCACCTTTAGCAAATGGTAATGAGGCCCTTGAATGAGCGATGCAAACAGACTCGAAAAAATGAGACTGTGGCCGATAGCACCATAATTATCATAGAAATGAACCCGGTCATGTGCGATATTTTAGCATCTCCTATATCGCGGGATCAGGCAAAAAACAAAAGGGAATATTTAAACTTCTTCCTAATTTCGTTCATCTTATAAAATGGGATATTTGTCATCTTTCGTCTTTTAAATTGGGGATCTCAGGTGGTCCAACTCATGAAATATTTGTTGGGATTGAGAAATATGATGTCAGTTGTAAAGGCTTGCCTGGGTGGGATTAGAATGTTGGTTATCATGCAGCATAAGCCCACAATATTTCGGTCACGCCAAAAGCAGGCCTTTGAATGCCTGCCCTTCCGGCCGTATCCAAAAGTAAGACTCGCCAAAAATGTCTGCTTGAGTAATATGGTATTTTTGCTAACTTAATAGTCCTCATATACCCAAATATCTTCCGAATAATGTGTGCACAAAATATCTCTTTCTGTACTCTGTCTGTACCATAGTACATCATCTTTGCTTTTTTGTCTCAAGCGTATTTCATTTGCAGCTATGGAATGTCCGTTCAAATAGCACAAAGTCCTTCCTTCTAGCAGCGCTATTTATAAAATACAGAGCGTGGTTCACATCCCATCACATACTTGATTTCCTTCGCAATAGCACGAAATGAGTGATTTTTCTAAAGTGGAAGGTGAACAGCTTGTAGTAAGATACCTTAAACGCAAGTGTCGCGGCAGATCGGATTCAAAATCGTCCAGGAATACAGAACTGGGTAAAATTAGTGTTAACACCCTCTTTGAGATGAAAATTTGAATACAGTGTCGTTTAGTAAATAGGCGCGTAGGAAACATCATATCGTGCTTTCAATCCATAAAAATATTTGATTTTACAAAGACAAAAATATCACACTGATTAAGTAGGCATCTTTAGTGGACGTGACTTTTGCAGACGGCTCTAGAGGCAGGCACTTAAAAACCTTTATGCCGATGTGGTTGAAATATCTTGGGAAATGTTACAAAAGGACCAATATTACAGCCACACCCACAGTGCATGATCGATCGCACGCAATGTTGGCCGAAATTCTGAAATGCATTTTCGAATGGGAAGGATTTCTTAGGTGGGATTGTATTATCGCTTATCACGCGAGATAATTATATAGTATTTAGACTTATTAGGATGTCGGCTATGGAATGCACTTCTTCTTGACCTACTGCAGAAACCACATTCGGTATTAATAACTACTTCCGTAGCATGCATTTTTCATGTTGATTTTCGAATATATTTTGCAGAAGACATGCATAAAATAAGCTTCTTTCCTATTTGGTATAGAATTACCTTATTTTCACATTTTATACCCGAAGAAAGCATATATCTTGCTTTTGAAAAAGGTTTCCATTTCCCGAATAATTTTGAGTCAGATCAGCCGTTGTATTAGCGTTTAGTGATTCAAATCCATAAGGTACGTGCTATCCCCATAAGGAAAATGAGATAGTTTTCTATGATTTTAAGACGATACCATCCAGAGGTCATTAAAATTTTGTAATGTATGCTGACTGTTTTGTACGTTTCATGAGGACCACCGGTAAACGGATATGTGCGATGCTTTATTGATGAACATCGTACTGTCTTCAAAAAATTATAATGAGAAACTTTTTAAAAACCGAAAGATACCATTGATTCGAATACCAAATGTAAATACAATTTGCTTTTCTTATCAAGCCACTAAAAGAAAGCGTATTTTTGTGCATGTTTTCTGCAAAATATATTCGAATTTTTAGGAACACCGAAAATCAACATGAAAAATGCATGCTACGGAAGTAGTCATTTTTTATCGACTGCGGTTTCTGCAGGAGGTCAAAAAGAAGTGCATTCAAGAGCCGACATCTTAACAAGTATAAAATACTATAGAAATATGTCCCATGATAAGCAATAATACAATCCCACCTAAGATATCCTTCCCAATCGAAAATGCATTTCAGAATTTCGGCCAACATTTCATGGGATCGGTCACGCACTGTAAGTAATCTTTTTTAACCGAAATCGTATTTCAGAAGTTCTGTTAATATTTCATGAAGTACGCCACCTACTGCGATTGCGCTACACTTTCATCGCGTGGTTCATCGATATTCCTGCGGTTGCATAAAGATAATGAAAGGCATCCGACTGAATTGGTTTTCCGGCATCCTTTATGCGGTTTCTGGTCCGTGGGCTGCTAAGCTAACGAGATCGTAGTTTACTAGGATGATAATTTGCAACGGGGTGCGTGGAAAATTAACTCAAATCGCTTGAAACATTTGGGCGAAGGACAATCAACGACTGCACTGCGACTACGCAATGTACATTCTGGGAAGAACACTGCTACTAAGAGTATAATTTATACGACGGTAGCTGCGTCATACTTTCATGTGTGTAGACTTTTGGTTAGTGCCTAGATGTAATGAAACAGCCAAGAAAGTTGATTGGAAATCTAACATGTCGTTCAGGGATGCAACAAATTTCGTTACGTGGATCAGTGAAATTAGTGCCCCAGCACGTCGTCAGGCGTATGGCCACTATAAAAAATCAATCAACTCCCAGCCATGTCTAAAAAAGGATATTTGGGCATTCTTCTACCTGGTTGGAATTGAGTGCACCCGTTTCCGCCTGCCCTTGGTGATCTTGCATGTGGCCTCTAAATCGATATGCCTATTGATGTCTGTCTTGGTTGAGTACATCGCTTCGAGAAACTCGCTACCCCTCTTTAGTGAGCAGATGCCAATGAAGCGAACTTTTTTCTCATGCAAATCTTTATCGTGTGTGCAGTGTGTGCATGACTATCTAGAGTAAACTGACTCGGTTTTTCGTCACTAACTGGTATTCGCGTATGCGGGTAGGTTTCCTCACAAACTTACAAACTTACCCCGCTTGTTCAACCTAAGGACAGATTTGGCTATTTCGACGGAAAAGTTGTTTACAAAATCCTGCTTACAGTCAACTGTAGTTAAACGGGAAAATCTGTTACGATACGCACAAATAAACACTAGATAGCGGTGAAGAGATGACACGACTTATTTCAAGCGGTCATGACCACACTGCACAAGGGAGGCGTTTGTGTTGGACGCAACTCGCATCATTGGCGTCTGCCCAACAGTAAGGCGTCGGGAGCTGCTTGAAGGAATTCATTCAGAATGGACATGCATCAATAAGTATTTCGATTCAGGTGGCGCGCAGAAAATTCATCGGGATGGGTGGAAACGGACAGAACTAATCCTGACCGGGTGGTTGGATACATTGCAGGTCTATGACATAAAATTCAGTCAAGCATAGACTCTTTTGTCAGGCATGGATAAGAGTTAACGGATCTTGTAAACTTCTTTTACGCCAGTTAACGATCCGGGAATCCAGTATCAAGGATGTGCATGGCCATTCGCTTCTCTGCTGCCAGTTGATGTGCGTGAATGCGTGTAGAGGCAGATTTTTCCGTTTGGCCACAATGTACTGCAGTGCAGGTATCACATGGGATATTATAGACTACCTTCTCCTTATCAAGGTAGCCAACCGTTGTGGAAAGTGGTTGTCGGTTCGAGCCCCACCTTTAATTGGTGTTTCCTCAAGTGGCTTTCAAGGAGGTCAGAAACGTTCCTGATGTAACAAAGAATTTGTCGAGCGTTAACTTTGGGGGTTTAATTAGGAGTATCCAGTTACTTTGCTTTTAACACTTTCTGTCCCATGCATCGGCCTACTAAATCCCTGAGACCACTCCTTTGGAAAAATAATTCGAAGATATACCTCGCTTATGAGATATTGGGCTGTTGCTCTGATAGCGTAAAAATTACAGTGCGTGACCAATCTCAAGAAATTTTGGTCAAAATTCTGGAGTGTGATTTCGATTAGGAAGAATTAATTAGGTGAGGTTGGAATACTGATTATCTTGCGGCGAAATCCTATAAAATTTCGGACTCCGGCAGGATGTCGGCTTTCAAATGTAGAAGCAGTGCTCGTCAAAAAATAACTACTAAAGTAGCATGCATTTTTTCCATTGATTTTCGATGCCGTTGCAAATTCAAATACATTTTATCAGAAACGATAAAAAATTGCTTTCTATCACTCGTTTGATGGGTAACCACCTCATTTTCAAACGTCATGCTCGAAGTAGCAATATAATTAGGTCTTAAAAAAGTTCCCTAATCCCCGAATAATTTAGCGCCTGATCAGCCGTTGCGTTAGCGCCTCCTGCTTGCAGTCTAAAAGCTTCATGTGCTCGGCGTAAAGAAAATCACACATGGAAGCGAATATGCGAATCCCAGGTTCTTGTTGTAAAGAAGATGAAGACCCGATCTCTGGGACAGTGGGTTTATTAGTCTGAGCTTTCGGTCTCGTACAGGAGGCCATCGCCAGAGACTGCGAGAAGGCAACATCAAATGAGCGGTTTTTGTAATCACGCCATGAAGGGGGGGGGAGATATGAGTGCAGCGGGTGGTATTCGCGATAAGTTGCGTCCCACGCCGTCTCACGGTGCCGTGACCGCGTGCACCCTTGGCTGGAAATTGGGTCTCGCCCCTTGGCCGCCGGAACGGAGCGCGTGATAGCAGGGGGGGGGGGGTATGTCAACGTGCCTGTTGATAGAGTTGGTGCCAGACACCCAGGCCTCTAACAGTTCTCGTCCTGTCTTATTGCTGGCCCGCGCCACTATCCGCATGCTCGCAAAGTTGAATTCGTGGCCTTCCTCCAGGGTGTGAGTGGCGATCTGAGACAACGGGTCGCCTCTCCCGACCGCCCGTTTGTGCTCCGTTATTGTGACCTAAGTCGTCGTCCGGTTTGTCCTGTGTAGTGGCGAGGGCAGTCCTGACATGGGATCTGATAGACGACGCCCGATTGTTCACCCACGTCTAGGCGATCCTTCACTTGAATGATTTTGCTGCGCATGGTCGCTGTCGGACGGTGAGCGATACCCACGCCGAGCTCTCCAGCAATACGTTCCATCGCTTCGGATACGTTCTTTATATATGGCAGAGGGTGCCAGAGTGTTGGCGGCTCTCCTCCGTTTGTTCGCCGTGGGCGCGTGCGGAGGCAGCGGCTGACGAAGCTGTTCGGGTATCCATTCCTTGCCAGTTTGTCCCGAAGATGCCGAAGTTCTCGTACTCGTCCCTCTGGTTCACTGCAGTGCGTTTTTACCCTCTGGAAGAGTGTCCTAACACAGCTGCGTTTATGCGCCATTGGGTGGTTACTGTGGTAGTTGAGAATCTGAGTCGTGTTAGTCGCCTTTCTGTACACCGTGGTGTTGAGTTCGCCGTTGGGTGTGCGTGTGACGAGAACGTCAAGGAAAGGCAGCTGTTCGGCATGCTCTTCTTCCCTTGTGAACTGAATGTCTGGGAAGATGCCATTGAGCAGGTCTTTGAAGTCGGCCAGTCTGCTCCTTTCAATTATGACGAACGTGTCGTCCACGTACCGGCGCCAAAATGCAGGTTCATAGTGGTCGAAGGCGACTTTTTCCAGTTCCTGCAGGACTAGTTCTGCAACCAGGCTGGATATTGGCGAACCCATCGGCGTTCCTTTGATCTGCTCGTATGTTCTGCCATTGAAGGTGAAGAAGGTTTGTTGGCAGAAAGCAAACAGTTGCAGTAAGTGATCGATTTTTAGGGGTTTGTTCGTCTCGTCGTAATTCTCTTCGAGTCGTTTGCGAAGAACGTCGCGTGCCAGGTCCGGTGGGATGGACGTGAATAATGAAACCACGTCAAAGGACATCATAATCTGCTCCGGTCGGACAACTTTTCCTCGGATGTCGGCCAGGAATTGGGAGGCCGAATTGATGGAGGTCCTTGAGGCTTCTCGGAGAAAGTTAAGTTTTCGGGCCATCCACTTGGATAGATTGTAAGTGGGGCTGCCTTTCAAGGCAACGATCGGTCGAAGGGGAACATTGGACTTGTGGATTTTGGGTAATCCATAAAACCGGGCCAGTGCCGTGTCCGTTGGTTTCATCTGTCGCCATTCGTCTAGCGATATAGCACTGTTTCGCTTGAGTCGGTTCAGGAGTCCAGTTAGTTGACCAATCATCGATTTGGCTCGCGAGGGAGGCGTGGACTTGTAGGACTGTTGGTCGTCTAGGAGGGCTTGTGCCTTTTCGTTGTAGTCAACGCGGTTCATCACGACGGTTGCTCTTCCCTTGTCGGCTGGCAGCACTGTTATATCTTTGTCCATTTTTAATTCCTTCATTGCTTTTATTTCTGCGGGCGACATATTATTGATGGGCCTGTTTGTCAGCAGTAGGGAGGTGACTTTCTGGCGTACGGTGTGTTAAGCCTCGTCGGTCGCGTTGGTTCTTACCAACATGGCTTCAAGTGCGGCGATAAATTCGGCCGGTTTGGCATCTGCCGTATTAAAGTTGGCTTCACGACTCAGCACTCTCAGTTCTTGTTCAGTTAACTGTCTGGAAGATAGATTGTGCACCACATTTTCGTTCGTCTTGTATTCGGGTTTCAATTTTCCGAACTTCTGCTCTAGGTTCATGCGTTTTAACTCCTGTCTCCTTTTTGCCAAGATGGATATTGTTCGGCCAAGGGAATCAGTAACCAATTCGCCAAGCAATGTCGCGCACTCTGTCCTTTTCTGTTCAATGACGGCGCGGTACTTGTGTAGGCGCAAGTGGCAGTCGTTAATCAACACTCTTGTCATTTGCTTGCGAAAACGTTGCGCAACGGTTCTACCAAGTTCAGTATTCACTGGAGTCTTGTAGCGTAGGCTCTTCGGTGTCAGTCCTTCGCGAACACATCTGTGCAGAAAACGTAGCTGCTCATATGTTGCTGCCTCTCGGGTGGTGAATGTCTCCCAGCTGCGAGCTGTGCGAAGCGCATTACGCCCGAAATTTTCACGGATGGAAGCGAATATGCGAATCCCAGGTTCTTGTTGTAAAGAAGATGAAGACCCGATCTCTGGGACAGTGGGTTTATTAGTCTGAGCTTTCGGTCTCGTACAGGAGGCCATCGCCAGAGACTGCGAGAAGGCAACATCAAATGAGCGGTTTTTGTAGTCACGCCATTCTTCGATACCTTTAAATAGATTTCATATAAAATCCGTAAAATTTTACAATGGATGCGGACTATGTTTTACATTTCATGACATGAAGTGGTAAAAGTACATTTATGATGCTTTGTGAATAGACATCGCACGGTCTTAAAATATCTCATTATTGGAAACTTTTAAAACCGAATATACTGCTTCTTCTAGCATAAAATTTGAAAATGAAGTGGTTACCCACCAAACGAGTGAAAGAAAGCATATTTTTGTTAAAGTTTCTCATAAAATGTATTGGAATTTGCAACGCCACAGAAAATCAATTGAAAAAAATGCACGCTACTTTATTAGTCATTTTTTTGACGAGCACGGCTTCTACAAGATTTTTAAGAGGTGTGCATTTGAAAGCCGACATCCTGCCAAGTCCGAAATATTATAAGATTTTGCCGCAAGATAATCGGTATTACAACCCCACCTAATCAATTCTTCCTAGTCGAAAACGCATTCCAGAATTTTGGCCAACATTTCATGAGATCGGTCACTCACTTTACTTCTGCAGATGTTTCTTTGCGAAAAACGGTCGGGTGTAATATTCCGTCAGTCTTTCGCTGTACAGAAATGGGAGCCTACTTTCAACTTCTTTTTCGAGGGGAATTTACTTTCCGAAAAGATTGACTTTATTATGTTGTGGAGCGTTTCCAGTTGATCCCTTTAACGATAACAAATGTGTCGTTTAAATATCGTTCCCACAACATAAGGTTAATAAAAGGCAGAGCTGCCAAATTCAGTTTCTGAATTATAACCTCGGCAAGAAAGCCAAATATAGGTCAATCGATTTGGGCTCGTTTTATTTGTTGATAATACTGACTTATTGGAATCGGAAGTTTATCCATCAGTTAACCCAAAGATCTAAGTACGCTATGTAAATTACAATTTCGCATCTTTGTCGCCTGCCTAATATTATCATCGCGCTTGACGTATTCAACCGTTTTCTGCTGACTAACCTTGAACTCTCAGATGTCGATCGCTGGAGAGATTGCACAATATTTGCCCTCCTTGCGGTCATCGTAGTTGTAGTCAAACCAACGTGCTTATCGGTCGCCCACTCCTCGGCCGGCTGACCGATCAGTCGATGCTGCTCGTGCGAATTGTTGTCGTCCTCCCTGTGACGTTGGTGAGGCAGTGTTCCACTCTAGTCGTATGGCCTCCCACCAAACCACCATCTGACCTGGAGCAGCCCGCGAATGAGTAACCAAGTTGTCTTTGACGATGACACGTGAAAAGTCTGGGATATCATCTTGCGCGCCCATGTGCAGTCTGATTATCGTCAATCTCCACTGTTGTAAGTTGACGTTCTCGCGGTACCCTCTGTCCAACTCACGGCCACTCGTCAAACGACCGATTCACATAGTGCCCGATGCAACTCACATGCACCAGAGTAGAGTTGTTTACATCCCTCTTATTTTCACTCCTAAGTCGCGTTGTGTCACACACTGTTTGCATCTGCCACTAGTATTTTGGCATAAGTGACTCCCTTTGAAGGGGCAATGGATGCAATAGGTACGCACGATGATATGTGATCCATGTGGTGGACCCGGTTTGTGTTTAAGGTACAGAACTCGGTATGTAAATAGTTGCCCTATTTTACTGGCGGCCGGTGAATTTTGCGAAACGGTCTTTACTCGAATTTGCTGGTCGGATACGGGAATGTAGTCTCCCCAGCCTAGTACTACAGGCGGCTGCACGTTAAATTCCAAGGAGTTCCTGTTCCCTTGTCGTAACAGCATCCGCAGCGCCAACATATGCCCTAACCCTGCTTCCAACACTAACCTCCTAGAGTCTAGCGTAAGACCACTTGTGATACAGAGTCCATATTCCCGTGCATAAATTGTCCGCTAGCACAGCTGGGCGATTCATCCACCTAGAAGGGCTCGAAAATGCTCAGTCTTGTTGACATCGTCTTATGCATCGATTTTATCAAAAACTCGAATTACTTCATTGGGTTTAGCATCTAGTTCCAACTAATTTGGGCGTATGCGGTTTAGAGGATATGTGTAATATCAATCGAATTATGATTTCAAACCTAGGTCAATTTTCCGCAGCAGATATTCTTAGAAGACTTCAGCAGTAATGATATGGTTTTAATGCTATGTACGGCTAGGCGAACACGCTTTGTAAGATTTCCTCCACTGGGAATTGTTCTATCTGTTGAATGTGGCTTTAGTGACTGTTGCCGTCATTTAAACGACTCATTGTGCCTAATCAATATGCAAGAGATCTTTTGTTTTTATTCCTTTTTGGGAGACATTTGCGTTTGTTTCCATGAGGCTGCACTGCTGTGAAGGCCATAGTAAGAAATTGGACTTTTTTGTACGAGACATTTTCGGGTCCAGTAAAAGAGTAGGCGTATGTCTGCATATCACCTCATTCGCCTTCACAATGCCAGTCACACTGCATTGCTCCTTTTATGGGCGAATTTCCTGATTTACTGTCCGGTGTTTAAGTCAGTTTTGATTAATGATAATCCCTGATTTTGTTGATTACCGGCCCGATCGGAGTTTTAAATATAACACATTGGACGGTGCTATTCGACGCCCACCTTGGTAGATTAGCATCAATTACAATAGGTGGTGTAAAAGATGAAAGTTTTCAAAAGTTGTGAATGATTTTTAGTCCTTCAAAAACCGATACTAATCCAAGAACCTAACATCTACATTATTAAAATATCTTTAAGGGAATTGAAAGCAAAAATGACTTCTATAGGTAATATACGTTGTCAAGAAACACCAGTTGCTCCAGGAAATCAGAAAATTAACAAACATCATAAATTTATATCATTTGGCAAATTTCAGTTTTCGATGTACAGGGACCCTCTTCATGCAAAAAGGTGAGAAAATGCAACAACCTAAGTAGAATTTTGACATTAGTCTTTTATTAGAGTTTACAATTAGAATGTCTTAAGAATTAGCGTAATTGTAAGTGTGGTGTTGGGTTGAGCATTTTCGAAGCGTCCTCGAACGTCCCACTACAATCCCCGAACGACACCATCGACCGCCTCTCTCAAGTGGAAACAACACCGACCTGGATCTCCCGCCATCTCTCCCGGAAACCATTCCCGCCGTGCAACAACATCCCAGTGGAACATCTAAAAAAAAACTGATGGACCGACTGATGGCGCTACTTCAGATGTGACGCTGTGAGCAGGTGTCTCAGGATTCCAAGGACGCAACCATCGACTGTCTGTACATGCAAAAAGGAAATCGGAAACTCTGCGGCAATCAGAGAAGCATCTAGCTACTCAACATCGTCGAGATTTTCGCCCACCTCCTACTCAATCGCCACAGCGGACACCTCGAGCAAGGACTTCTGCCGGAAAGCTAATGCGAATTCCGGCAACCAGTGATATAATCTTTGCCGCCCGCCAGCCTCAAGAGAAGTGCCAGGATCATGCAGAAGTTCGGCCCTCCCGAGCGATTCACGCACATGGTGCGCCAGCTCCACGATAGGATGATGGCGCTGGTCACGGACAACGGCGCAATCTTCGAGGCATTCGCAGTGACAAATGGAGTGTGGCGGGGCTGCCTACCCGCGCCCACCATCTTAATTCTCGTACTTTCTGCGATGCTGATGGACGCCTACCATGATGAACACCTCGAGATCCGCATCGACCACAGGACCGACGCATACCTTCTCAACAGCCGGCGAATGAAGGCTCTGACGAGTCGCTCTACAACTACCATCTACGATCTGCACTCCGCTGACGACTGCGCACTTAACAGTAAGACCGAGGAAGACATGCAACGGAGCATATATATCCTCGCCTTCAGCTACGCCCACTTTGGACTGACCATCAATACGGACAAGACGGTAATCATGCATCAACAGCCACCGACCGCTGAATACAATGGCCCTCACATCCGCGTCAACGGCAACGAGCTGAAGACCGTGGATAACTTCAAATACCTAGGTAGCACAAAGTCTCTCTGCATCCGAATTGACGATGAAGTAGCCTACCGAATCGCCAAACCTTCGGCGGGCTGCAGAACTCCGTGTGGAATCGCCACAACCTCCTACTGAATAAAAAACGGAAGATGTAAAAGGTTGTCGTCCCTGCGGCACTCCTCTACTGAGCGGAGACCTTGACCGTCTATCCAGTCATGCCAAGAAACTCAATAATTTCCACCTCAGCTACATTCGCAGAACGCTAAAGCTGACGGACCTGAGTCCTCAGCATCCACGCCGTGCTGAGGCAACTACGGCTACTTTGGAGCGGTCATCTGATGAGGAAGAAAGATAGACGTCTACCGAAACAACTCTTCTACGGTGATGTCGCCACCGGTGTGCG